CTCCTTTACTCCTCTCTCAAACCATCGTTCCTCTCTGTCCAGGATGTGAACATCTTCATCCTTGAAAGAGTGACCGCTGGCCTGGAGATGAGTGTAGACCGCAGAATCCTGGCCTGATGATGTTGATCTTCTGTGCTGGGCCATCCTTTTGGCCAGTGGCTGTTTAGTTTCCCCGATGTAAGACTGATCACAGCCCTCCTGACACTGAACAGCATACACAATATTACTCTGTTTGTGCCGGGGGACTGGATCTTTGGGATGAACCAGTCTTTGCCGTAATGTATTTTGGGGTTTAAAAGCCACTGGGACGTTATGTTTAGAAAATAAACGTCTCAGTTTCTCTGATACTCCCTCAACATATGGAATGACCACTGGTCTGGGTCTGGGTTCCTCCTTTTCACCTGATGGCTGACTGGAGTCCTGTTTGGGTTTCTTCTCTGCTTTCAGGAAGGCCCAGTTAGGATATCCACATTGCTCTAGAGCCTGTTTTGTGTAGGATTTCTCCTTCTGCCTGGCTCCCAAGTTAGTGGGGATGCTTGAGTGGCATCAAGTTTTAGCAGTTTTAGGAGTTATATTTTGTCATTTTTCAAAAATGGACTCAGCATGAGCAGAAGATGAGGCAGAAGACCCTGGAGAATATTGCTTTTCACACAAGGCAGCTGACGGCTCCATATAAGGTAAGAGAAATGCGTGTTTGTTTGCCCTGTGCTGTACTCCACTTCTTGCCTGTGGAGCGGGGCCCGGTCTGTTTACATTCACACTGTACTGGAAAAGCGCTGGAGTTCTCTTCTACCGGACCAAGACCTAGGTTTTAGCCCGGGCCAGAGTTCGCCTTTTTGTTCCGTGACAGAGTTCGATGGCGCGTTCACACTCAGTGATCTCAGTGGTCAGGCACTCGAGCACAGCTGGCAGGTAGATGAGAATGCATCCACAGAACATACTTTTCAACTCATTTGAGATTTTGTGCTGTAGTTGAGATATTATTGAGCTTTTGAGATGTTAATCAGCTGCTGTTGGTTGTAGAAAACTGCCTTGTTGCCATGGTTACGCATCATAACAAATGTCCAAAACTATAAAAGTTTCAGTAAAAATCCTTCCAGCTGCACAGCATCCGATACCAGAGGAAACAAACATCCAAAAAAATGTGATTTACATCCAGAAAAAGAGAAATTAAAGTTTCCAAAAGCAAAATCTCAGAATGAAAGTAACAAATTTAATTTGTAGCAATGCATCCACTATTTCCTGGAAGTTTCATTAAAATCCATCTATTGACTCATGTGATGAATAGTTAAAAGCAAAAATTTAAACAAAGTTTTTGCAGAGTCTGTTGGGGCTCAGTCTCTGCTGCCCCCACATCAAACTTCATGTCAACATCTGTACATTTGACTGAGCTGTATGGACATTCTTGTGTTCTTAAAAATCATACGGTTGTGGCAGCCATCTTTAATCATGTTGTCCAAAGGTTAATCAATTTTAGATGTACATCTAGTGATTATATTTCTAACAGTTTCACTGAAATCAATATTGAGGTTCATGAGATGGTTTGCTAACAGGTGGACCAATGCATGCACACATGGACACTTTCTGCAGCAGGCAGTAAAAATGAAACGTGTGCAACATCTTGACTTTGCACATGAACTGACTCAAGTGTTTAAGGGGTGATTAGAGCAGCCAGCTCACCTTTGTGCTGAGTTGCAGATAAGCTCCTGATGTAGATGTGTGTAATGTATCACAGTGAGGCAGCAGAATAGATTATGTGTGCACACTGACATGTTCAATTAATGCACACATTTGAAAAGAGGCATTTCCAGGCTGCACCAGCCTCCCAAGAGAAGGAGGATGAAGAGGTGTTCAAATCAATTTTGTGCATTTTACTTTTCGGCTAATTGTGAAACACTGGTGTGTATTTGTCCTGCATGTGTGTGTGTGTGTGTGTGTGGGGGGGGGTTCAGAATTTACAGCAGAAATTACTCAGGTGAATTATGCTGATTCTACATTTTACTTCAAGGTGGAGTATTTTGACTCTCAAATTGTGCTGCACTTTACTTAGACCTGTCTAAGGACACTGTGGATCATAACATCTTGTGTCAAAAGCTCTCAGAAATGGGTTTCTCAGAACACATCAGTCCACATTGCTCTAGAGCCTGTCTTGTGTGGGATTTCTCCTTCTGCCTGGCTCCCGAGCTAGTGGGGATGCTGTCTGCTCTGTGATACAGAGTCCTGATGACTCCTAACTTGTGCTCCAAAGGGTGATGGGAGTCAAACTGCAAATACTGGTCTGTGTGGGTGGGTTTGCGGTACACCTCAGTTTGCAAATGTCCTCTATCAGAGACTGAGACCTCACAGTCCAAGAAAGCCAACCTGCCATTTTTTTCATCTTCTCGTGTGAACTTGATGTATTTATCCACAGAGTTGATGTGGTCAGTAAAATGTTGGACTTCCTGAGATTTAATTTTAACCCAGGTGTCGTCAACATACCTGAACCAATGACTTGGTGGTGTCCCTGAAAAGGACGTCAAGGCTCTCTTTTCTACCTCCTCCATGTACAGGTTGGCAACAATAGGAGAAACTGGAGACCCCATAGCACACCCATGTTTCTGCCTATAATACTGCTCCCCATATGTGAAGTAGGTTGACTGCAGGCACAGTTTCAAGAGTTGACACAGTTGTTCTGTGGAAAGTGTGGTCCTGCTGCTCAGAGTGGTGTCTGATTTTAATTTTAAACTGACCACCTCTAGTGCATCATCAACAGGAATGCACGTAAAGAGTGATGTGACATCAAAAGAGACCATTGTTTCATCAGTCTCCATGATGACATCCCTCACCTTATCCACAAAGTCCATGGTGTTCTGTATGTGGTGTTCTGAGCTGCCAACTAAAGGGATGAGTACAGACGCCAGATATTTGGAACTTACAATGTTTCACCTGTGGTACACTGGTAGTGAAGCTTGTGACGACTCTTTACCTTGGCAGAGGATGAATCAGCTGCGGTCAAGAGGTCCCTGGCACGCTACCTTTCAGTGTCTCCTCAGGGCAGCTGCGACTCGGCAGAAGTCATGAGATGATCCGTTCCACAAAACAAACTTCCTCAGAAGTTATAGGGCATTCGCCGGGTGGACTCACATGAGCTGTGAGTCCGTCAGAGGTTCCACTCCGATGTGGAAGGCTCCATAATCCCAACTAGACTCGGAAGAACTCCCAACTAACTCCAGCACTTCAGAACTTTCTCCAGGCACTAGAACTACTGGAACTAGGAAGTGTCGACTTTTAAGGAGTTCTGCTTCCGGTCACTTTTAGGAAGTCCTGATTGGTTGAAAGAACCAACAGGGGTGTGGTTTTAGTGATGTCAGAGGGTCATTACAAGTCGAGAAAACATCAGAAATGTTTAGGAACGGTTAGTTACAGACGAGAAAATATTTTGGAGAAATGACAGACTTACATGTGCCAGTTTTCTTGTTTCTGTCTGAGAGGTTTAAAAACATGACAGTTCGTTCCAATAAACTTGTTTTTGACTGTCTCTGACTTTTGACTGACATCACTCCTTTCTCATTTCAGACAGAAGATCAAAAATGCACAATTACTTTGTAACATAGACATTTAACTTGATTTCTACTTTGAATGAGGATTAAAAATCATTAATACTGTTTCACAGTTGATTTAAAATGAGTGGTTCATTTCAACATTTAAAAATGGTATGAACTAAACACACTTTTGATTTTCAAGACATTGTAAAATAGTAATGATGATATAAAAAAGAGAGTGTTCTTTCAATTGATTAGTTCAGGATACAATTAGAAAGTCTCTGGATGAGCTAATTTGTATTTCTGGATTCAAATCAATGAAATAACAGTTCCTGTCCCATGAAGGTCTTCAGAGGCAGGTTTTGACCGGAGGCCGAGTTCACTACAGGTACAAAGTGTGAGAAAAAACACCACGGGGTACAAAGTGTGAGAAAAAATAGCGGCTTATACAAGGGCAATTACGGTATTTTATATTGCTTTATAATGTAGCTGTTTTGTTTCATTTTTTTAAATATCATTTCCATTTTTTTTATTTCTATAACTTCTTTTATGATTGTCTCTGTTGTCATCATTATTTGTTAAAAACAGGTCTATCTTATAAATGAGTCCTTGAGGCTCAATGAGACAAACCTGTATAAATAAAGGTTGAATGCATTTTCACTTAACATCTGTTTAATACTTATTCAGAAAATAATAATAGAAGATCTATTGATTTGCTCTAAACTAGAATGGAAGGCAGAAAAGTAGTTAATGTGATAGACAGACAAACGGGGTTATTCCCTATTCGACTATTCAGCACTTGTTCCATGTAGAGGATCAGTCTCAGCTACTGCTACACCCAATTTTGTTTCAATACTGTACCTGTAAAGCCAGCTGAGCTATAGCCAGTTTTTGTGTTTGATAAGGTCACTTAGCTATATGGAGGCCATCCTAAAAGGAGTTGAATCATCAGTTGTAGATGAATATTCACTAATTACTTTCTAGGAGTTTCAATCAAATATTTGCCTTCAGCAGTGAGCAATAAAGATGTTCAAGACTTTATGATCTCTGTGATGGATGTAACCTGTCCAGGGTGTACCTCGCTTTTCACACAATGACTGCTGGAGAAAGGTACTACAACTGGGTAAAGAAAATAAATGGATGGATGGATGGATGGATGGATGGATGGATGGATGGATGGATGGATGCATGGATGAATGGATGGATAGATGCATTGGATGAATGGATGGTTGGATGGTTGGATGGATGATGGATGGATGGAAGGATGGATTATATGATCTATTGGTATGCTCTAGCTGGAAAATAAGCTAAACTTTATTGACATACAACTGGATTTTATTTAAGTCCATCAAACTGAAATAAAACCTTGTTTTAATCTCATACATTTCTGCTTTGTTTAACTTAATACTTACTTCCATCACATATTGTCACTATGTACAGGTAGATTATATTACTGTGCTTGTTTGTGTGAAAATGTACCTGTTCCTGGGCTTGATCTATGAAGGAGCTGCATTCCTCTAAATACGATGTTATGTCTGTGTCTGGGAGGTCCAGGATTTGAAGCGTCTTATAGACCATCTGATCTGGGAACAGGTTACTGATTCCATAAGCCACATTTAGCACATGAGACACCTGAAAGGAAGGAACACAAAGATGAGACATGGAACTCCTTGAAGAAATGACCCCCCCCCCCCCCCCAAGCGATGAGTTGCTTCAAATGCTTTTTTTTTTGCTTTGCAAAGACAAAAAGGGATACTCTGTTAGCTATATTGATGACATGACACAGGCTGAATGCGGCAGAGAGAGGGCAGAGAGACAGAGTGGGGAAGAAAGAAGAGAGCTGACAGAGAAGATGGAGGAAAGATGAAGAGGAAATGGTGGTGGGTAAGCAGGGAAGAAGACAGATGGTTCCAATTCATTTTGCAGTGTCTGTCTACTCTCACTTAAATTTATCTCAGAGGGCAAAAACCTCCTGGTTTATGTCTCAGCATCAAACTAAAGGGCTTTTATTTTCTACATGTCAAGGGATATTTTACGTGCTACACTATACTTGCTATAGTATACACTATACAGTATAGACATCAAATCCCGTTTATAGCCAAAAACCAGCAGCAAACAATACCTGCTGCTTATCACTGCTCTTTTCTGGGACAGAAACACATCAAACAAAACTGCTTATTTTGACATCCAAAAAATTATTTTACTTTTACAAAAACAACACCAAATAATCCAATCTGTCTTCATCTGTTTCATAAGTAATTGCAGACAATGGCAACAACCACACCTGGTTTTTAGACCACAACCAATCGGTTACTTCTCTCATCTTGAGGAACACATTCATCCATTCATCCATCCATCCATTATCTTTACCCGTTTATTCCATTTTGGGTCACGGGGGTCGCTGGTGCCCATGTCCAGCAATCACTGTGCGAGGGGCGGGGTACACCCTGGACAGGTCGTAAGTCCATCACAGGGACACATAGAGACAAACGAGACAAACAACCATTCACTCTCTCACTCACACCTAGGGACAATTTAGAGTAACCAATCAGCCTAACATGCATGTTTTTGGTCTGTGGGAGGAAACCGGAGCACCCGGAGAAAACCCACGCATGCACGGAGAGAACATGCAAACTCCACCCAGAAGGCCCCTGGACCGGGGTTTGAACCAGGGACCTGTTCGCTGAGAGGCAGCAGCTCTACCAGTTGCGCCACCATGCTGCCCGGAACACATTTATGTTTTTATTATTATTATCGTTATTATTATTATCCATCCATCCATCTATCCATCCAGCCTTCCATTATCTTCTGCTTGTTCCGAAGTCGGATCTTGAGGGCAGCAGCTTGACCAGGGATGCCCAGGAATAAGCACTTTTTGTGGAAAACAGGGCCACTTTATCACTTACTGCCCTTGCCAGAATAATCACTGTGAAAAAAATCAAATCATGTTGCTGCTGATCTGTTTCATGTTGCTGCTGATCCGTTTCATGTTGATGTGTTTATGCGTGCTCATCTGCTCACATAGACTCATGCTCATGTTCGTGCTGCTGTTCGACGTAATGTTTTTATGCTATTAGTGCTTAGTGTATTTTTAGTTGATGTTTTTCTTAGTTCACATCTTAGATGTTATCATTGTTTTATTTTTTACATTTTATTGTTGGATGTAACTGGGACCATGTGTACATAATTTCGCTCCACCACATGTACCACGTGTGTTGCGAATGACAATAAAGAATTTCTCTCTCTCTCTGATTAAGGACTACAGCAGAATCGCTGCCCCTCCCATGTGACTCATGTCTACTCTGCGCACCTTCAACTGGACTCAGGAGGCCGAAGAAGCTTTTGGTAAGCTTAAACAACTTATTTAATCCACTCCATTGCTTTGTCATCCAGATCCAAACAGACAGTTCCCTGTAGAGGTGAATGGATCAGACACTGGCGTGGGAGCAGTACTTTCCCAAAGATCAGCTACGTATAATAAGGCACACCCTTGTGAATTTTTTTTTCGATGTCTGTCTCCTACTAAACAGAATTACGATGTAGGAAATTGTGAGCTCTTGGCCATCAAACTAGCCCTGGAAGAATGGTGACATTGGTTGAAGGATGCAGAGTTGTCTTTTCTCATTTGGACCGACCATAAAAATCTCACCTACCTATGTGATGCCAAACAATTAAACTTTAGACAAGCACGGTGGGCTCTCTTCTTTGCTCGCTTCAATTTTCTTTTGACTTTCAGACCCAGATCTAAGGATGTGAAGCCAGATGCGCTGTCTCACCAATTTTCTTCCCCTGATCATCCTGAACAATAGGAAAGCATCCTCGCTTTGTCCTGCGTGGTTGGAGCGCTCAGCTGGGCCATTGAGTCAGATATTTTGGAGATCCAAAAGACTGAACCTGACCCCAGACCTGGGTCTGTCGAGACACTGTTCATAGCCACAAGCATCAAGCCTAAGGTACTGGAGTGGTTACACACACAAATTGTCTGTTATCCTGGTGTGGCTTGAATGTTTTCCTTAGCCAAAAAACATTTCTGGTGGCCTTCGTTGAATCAGGACGTGAAGGATTTTGTGGCCACATGACCTACATGTGCAAGGAGTAAGAGTGGCAATCAACCTCCAGCAGGCCAATTGCAGCCACAACCCACCCCCAGCCGTTCATGGTCCCATATATCTTTAGATTTTGTTACTGTTCTTTCCCCTTCAGAAGGTCACACTGTTTTCTGTCTGTCATTGACAGATTTTCTAAAGCTGATAATTTTATTTTCCTAGCCAAGCTTCCTTCTGCTTTTGAGACGGCCCAGTTGTTGGTTCAACATGTGTTTAGAGCACATGGGATTCCTTTGGACGTAGTCTCAAATAGAGGACTGCAATTTATTTCCCAGATATTGAACAATTTTTGTAATGTTTTAGGGGCCACAGCAAGCTTGACTTCAGGATACCACATTCAGTCTAATGGACAAGCGGAACACTGTAATCAGGAGTTACAGAAAGCCTTGAGATTTATGGTAGAAAACAACCCTGCGGATTGGTGCAAACATCTAGTGTGGGTGGAGTATGCTCACAACACACACACTTCATCAGCCACAGGCTTATCACCCTTCCAGGCCTCCTTGGGATATGCTTTTCCTTTATTTACCAGTCAGGAGAATGATGTCTCCCTTCCCTCAGTGCAACACCATTTTCTCAGATGTTGCAGGATCTGGCGAGCAACCAAGGCTGCCCTTTTTCACACTGCTGCTCAGGATAAGAGGTTTGCTGACCTGCCATCACTCTGCAGCTCTGTCCTACCAAATAGGACGGTACCACTTTACAGTAAGTCTCACCTTATAGATGGCTAATAAATAGTTTATAGATATGTTATTAATTCCTCTATAAACACTTTATAAATCATTATTAATTGTTTATTATGCATTATTTAAGGGTGACAGAGAGACAAAACTGACCAGTTTCTTGTCAAATACTGAGCCAAATCTGCCATCTACATTTCATCTAGAGTTGTTATATTAAACATTTCAGACTAAGTTACTATCTTGTAAGCACAATAAACATTTGTAAACATATTTTAGGATAAAATATTAGTTGTAAATACTTATAATTCAGTGATAAAGTACAATATTATATGCTAAAGAAATAGGTTTACAAATGCTTATTGTACTTACAAGGTAGTAACTTAGTCTGAAATATTTAATATAACAACTCTAGATGAAATATACAGGTGGCATCCAAAAAAGTTCAATCTGGTCCTCTGGACATTCAAAAAAACAAAAAACAAAACAAAGCAAAACAATCTAGAAACGTTTCGTCTCTTGGATGAGAGACGAAACGTTTCTAGATTTTTTTGCTTTGTTTTGTTTTTTGTTTTTTTGAATGTCCAGAGGACCAGATTGAACTTTTTTGGATTTTTCTACCTGGATTATTGAGCATGCATCAGGATATACAGGTGGCAGTTTTGGCTCACTTTTTGTCAAGAAACTGGTCAGTTTTGTCTCCATGTCACTCTTAATTAATGCATAATAAGCAGTTATTAATGACTTATAAGTGCTTATAGAGGAATTAATAACATATCTATAAACTATTTATTAGCCATCTATAAGGGAAGCCTGGGGAGCCTTATTGTAAAGTGGTACAAATAGGACAAAAGGTATGGCTCTCCACATGTAACATCAATCTAAAATACACTTGTAGGAAGCATGCATCTCATTTCATTGGGCAATTCCTTATTGTTCGGATCATTGTCTTGGATCACTTGATCTTTCATCCTCGACCCGAGTCTTATTACTTCCTTTTTCAAAGCCCATCCTGAAAAACATCTTAGATCGTCAAAAGGCAATATTTAGGGAGGGGGTACTGTAGGAGTTCAGCCTTTCACCCACAGCCCAAGATCACCTCACTGTGCCAACCAGCCACACCTGGAGATCATCTCACTTAATGAGAGGCTGGGGTATAAGAGGCAACAGGAGACTCCAGTTCAACACTGATGCATTAAAAACCTTTGGTAGTATGCTTCTGGCCAACTAACATTGTTCCTCAGTTCTGTAAATTCTAATCATTACCTCTCACGTGTTACAGTTTGACTCCAGTTGCTTCCTGACCTCCTTGTGGACTTGGACCTCATTGTGAACCCCTCAGCTGTCTCCTCACCTTCTAATCACTGCACAACTCTAATCAGACTCTCCTTGGATTACTCTTCACACCCTGGACCCATTGGATATTAACCTCAGCACTAAACTGCCAAACCAATTGTAAGAAAAAGATCAAATGTATCTTACCTTTCTAATCAACATTCAACCATACTTACCTCCCCTTGCTCTTCAGGGTTCCAGTTCCTCCAGTGCCTGAGAATTAATTTACACTGTAAATAAAACACATTATTTTCTACATAGAGTTTTTGAGTTGTTTCTTCAGTCTATGCTCTCTGGGTATTGATTTAAACCTAACAACAATATGATGGATATATCGATAAAGAAGGTTTTTGTCTTGTTTGTTTTTGACGATAATGTATGGCCTATTGGCACCAATTTCCTGATCCATTTTGATAGGCATGTCTCAGAGCATGGTGACATCCTTTTTTCTACTAGGGGCTAATTTTGATGTAAGCAGATACCAGCCATTGGTTGGCCAGTACAGTTACAT